TGTCCTGACAGGGGCACATGACAGAATTATCAATGAAATTAGCAAAATCTTAGAAAAAGCACATGGCCAGATACGCGCGTGTGTGGAGTTAGGGCTTGGCGTGAACCTTCCTCTAGGTCGGAAACTCATGCACCATCGAATGCCAGCACGACTTGCTGGGAGCTCGGATCCACAAGGCCCAGGCTATCCAAAATGCCACGTATCCCGGTCGGTGGCAGTCCCACTTTAAGCTCTCGAGCCAAGGGGAACGCCCGGACCAGGCTGAAACTACCTAGAGCCTAGAGCTCTAAACATGGATGCATGCATCAACCCGGGCTACCGTTGGGAAGGCTGTGGCCGAGGATTCCGGGGACTTGCCCATGCCGCACCTAGCCATCCTAGCAGCAAAGTATGGCACGATCAAGTCACTTGCAGCGTGGAGAGCACATGGTACACAAGCAAGGAGTAGCCAAAAACAGAATCCACACTCACACCGCCTCCCACGCATCCCGTGCTGCTTTGCCACGTCAAGCATGACAGCAGTTAACGAGTGCTGAACCTCCACGGCTCATAAGCGGAAAGCATGCAGGTGAGCAGTGATCTGCACGCAGAGGAATGAAGTTCTACGCAGCTTAGGAGGGTCCTTCTGTTTGCTCCAAGGGCATAAAGCCTACTCCGCAGGCCTGAGAGGGATTCGAGAATGGCTGAACGACCAGCTTCTGTCTGAAACAGAGGCGGTTGGAAAGAGGCGAGGGAATGAAATGCTCCTCCCCCAGGTGGACTTCAGATCATGTGCACACGAGCAGCCTGCAGACTGCATGATTGAATTACATGTGTCAAGCTTACACTTCTGTCCTGATGCAAATCTTCTCGGAATAGCTGGGTTTTGGGCTGTGAGGTTTGATGGATCCGACTCGAGCGTCTGGACAGAAGAATGCAACAAATTGCGACGCTGTCATCACTGACACGACTTGCCTTGCTGTTCGCCGGAGTTTAATGACCTACAGGGTAGCACAAGACTTAGAGTGAATTGAAGCTCCAATCTCTAAGATCTACCAAGGCCCCCTTCGCTGTTGACAAATATCTGGGCCCAACTTGCAGAAGCCCTGGCAAAACCCTTTAAGTCTTAAGCAAACGTGAAGGGCCCGTTCCAGCCCTGCCAAGTTCGAGCAGGTGTCCTCAAGCCTTGGCGCGAAGCTCAAGCTCAGAGCGACCTAGTCGGCGAGGTTTCCTGCCACGGGTAGCTCTGAGGCCTGAAAAACCTCGACTTCTCTCGAGTCTCTTGGGGCGGCGCGGGGAGGGGTCAGAAAAACGCAATCCGGGCTTGACGAGGCCATGCGTGTTTTGAACCTCTCCCGACGCCGAAAACCCGTCTCCTCTGGACCAGGAAGCCCCAACCTGGCACGAGGCTCTGGGTGGAGTTTAGGGGTTTACGGAGTTTTGGAGTTGGCTGCGAATGTGTGGAGTTTGTGGAGCATCCACAGGATGCACTCAACAGCGAAAAGCTGACATGGCAGCAGAAATTTGGAAAGATAGTTGAATGTGGGTTGGCTTTCGTGCAACACAGTACGCCTTATCGAATACTTGGACGAAGGAGCATCGTACAAGGAGTCGCTTAGCAAAGCCCGACACACAACCTTGGAAACATCCATCCAAGCAATTGAGGCGGGCTGAAGGTGCCTGTAAAACCTTCCGAAAGGGGCCTGGCCAACACACAATACCCCCTGAAAGGGCCCAAGCAAACGAGAAGCAAAAGAAGAAGACAAACCCTAAGCGTTAACCCCAAAGCCCAAAAACACACGTGGTCCCAGCAGAACCCACAAAACCCAATGGAATATCCCAAAACCTTGGGCCCTAAACTCCATAAAATTATAACGTCCTGTCAAATCCTTAACCCGAACCCTCAGCCCCTAAACCTGCGAAGGCAAAGGAAAGGGTCACTTTCTCTATCCGGCCTCTGCTTGACCACTTCGCTGGTCCTCCTGCGGCGCCTCCTGGGGCTGCCGTTGAAGTTGCCATCCTCAGCTGCTTCCAACTTTAGTTCGCGTACCTAAACTTCAGGTTCATTTTTGTCGGCTCATTTCGTCAGTGCAGTCATCGGAACAACACCAGGGGGGAGCTGCTTGAGGGCTTAGGATTTGGGGCTCTAGGTTACAGTGCTGGGTGTCCGGAAGTGTAAGCCCTAGAGTACCTAGAGTACCTACATTCAAGACGAGAGTGTGGGGCCGAAAGGCCTCAGACAGGGCATTCTGGCGATGAGAAAGTCGGTGCTTCGCACCCAAGCAAGCGATGGCACACCTGGGCACCTGGGGCTTCGCCTTCTGGAGCTCCGGTCGCTTCCTGACTCAGACACAAACGACCTCTGAGGTATCAGCTTGACGGAAGGCGTCGTCCAGGGTCGGGGGCATGTCAGCGAGGAGGAACCAGTCGTGCCTGCGGTGGAGGCCCACATACTGTCCTCCTACGTCAGGACCAACGGTTTCGAAATGCCCCAAAGATGCCCAACCTCAAGCTGAAATTCTCGCCGTAAATTTCATGCCCGAACTCGACCAATGCTCCGAAGCTTGGCAGTCGGGCAAACTTTCTCAGCCAAATACTCACTTTTGGTGGGCACGGTTTTGCCGGCTGACGGTTTGCGGATGGGGTTTGCTTGCCACTGAGAAATCGGGAGTGGTAGTGATACTGGTAGTGGTGGTAGCATGTCGTAGCGGTATATAGTGGTAGTGGTAGTACACTGGTAGCACTAGTGCTGGTGCTAGTGCTAGTGCCAATGCCCTGGTGGTGACCTGGTATGGGCCGGGAGTGGTAGTGGCTCTGTAGTGGTTGTGGGAGTGGGAGTAGTAGTTGGCTGCTACTGCTACTGCTACTGCCACAGCCACAGCCACTGCTCCTGGTCCTGATCTTGCTACTGCGGCTGCCACAACTACTGGTGCCGCCACTGCTACCGCTACTGCTATTGTCACAGCAGCAGCAGCAACAACAACAACAACAAAAAGAAGAAGAAGAACGATAAAGGCGTGGAGAAGTCCCTCAATGCCCGTCCTGCTACCCTCGTCGTCGAAACGAACGATTCGCAGCCCCGAGTGCTGCGCATCCGCGTAGAAGGGTGGCTCACCGACACACCTCAAAGAACTGAAACTGAGGGTCAACAAAATATCACTTGAAGCCCGATGTTGCCGACCCTCCGGCAAAATCCAAACCTCGGAGAATGGTTGGGGGAACGGCTTTTCGAAATTGGGCCGCGTGGACGTCGCCACCACCTCAGTGATGGGATCAGGCGAAGGCTTTGAAGGTTATTTTCAGCTCCAGGCTGGGTCTGGGCAACTGTGATGCGTTTCCCTTTTTCTCGCCTGCAATGGCACTGTGAATGCCAGCAGGATGCAATTTCTCCCGCTGCGCACACCAGCCAAACGTATTCAGATAGGAAAGCGTCGCTTGCAAAAATTGAGACATTGCAAGCGACGGGCGCTGCAGAGTGCCCAAAGGCACACTGTCAGCATGCTTCACAGACAGGTTTCGTTGAGCTCCATCAGAACTCGTCACCGTATCCTTCCTCTTCACCTTCGCCTTCAGCCTCTGCTGAGCTAAGATCAGAATGACTGCCAGCTCTCCAGCTCCATAGAGGTATGGCCACTCATCCAAGAGAAAATATCTCAAGCCCGCAAAGACTCCAAAAAAAAATAACAAAACGAACGATTCCAATGCCAAGCTCCGAGAGGCGGTCTCAATGCCCACCTGCCCGGCTCGGATCTTGAGAATGGGCTCGGGGGTTCTAGGGTTGAGAAGGATGCACCCCATGCCCAGGGACTTTAACCTGTAGCTGAGATCCTGAAGCTCAAGCCTTAGTCCGAATCCCTGAGCCCCAAAATGGGGATTCCAAAGCCAAATCCCACAAGCCACCATAGACTGCCATCGCCTCCTCGTAGTCTTTCTCCAGCGCAGCCAGGTCTTCCCTCGCCTCTGAGAACTCGCCCTCCTCCATTCCTGTCGGGTCAAAGCGCTGCTCTGGAATACCGCAATGGGTTCAAGGCGATCTAGCGGCTAGCAGGCGCCTTGTGTTACATAAGTGCTGTTAACCAGCATCATCACCACCATGATCATCGTCCTAATCTTCATCACGTCCTTCTTGATCATCGTCATCCTCATTCATGCAGCATCATTACCATCAACATGCAGTTCGTCAACATCGTCTCCACCACCATCACAGCCTTCGTCGTCATCGCCGCCACTTCCGCTGTTGTCGTCGTAGTGATGGTCGTCGTCGAGGCGGCCGCCATCGCCACTGACGTCCTCGTCTTCGTTATCATCCTCGTCCTCGCGCATTCTGTCAGCCTCGTCAGCGTCATCGTCAGCATCATCCTCATCCTCAGCAGTGGTATCATGAGCAATAACAGTATCGTCAGCATCAGTATCGCCATTATCAGTATCATAATCATCACATCTCATCATCATCTTCTTCTTCAGCGGCATCATGGTCATCGTCGTCATCATCATCATCGTGCTCGTCATCCTCACCATCGTTGTCATCGTGGTCCTCGTCCTTACCCGTCACCGACCCTCCTCACCGTCACCATTTTCACGGCACAGTCATTGCTGTGAATAGGGATGTACAACGACGCCAATGAAGTGCAAACGGCCGTCCTTCGCCGACATAGTGGTGGACGAAGGCGCGCTTCCTACGCCGACTCAGAATTTTGGGCCCAAGGCGATGAGCCTAGTACTTTTCGAACAGGGCTCATGTTCAACAAAGGAAAAGGTGCGCCAGCAAGTTCATGCAAGTTCCATCGCTGCAGCTGCTAGTCTGTTAGTCTGTACTTGAGCTGCAGGTTTTTCAGGTATTGGAAATCTTCTTACTCCAACCAAGATGCGAGTACATGAGGTCAAACTTGTGGTCAATGCGCGAGAAGACTTCCTTGTTAGGGCTCCGGGCTGAAAGCGTTAAGGTTCATCAATCAGGGCTCACCGAACTCGGCTGTCTGAAGCGTCTGCTATCACATGGCAAGTCTGCTTAAGGGAGATCTTTCAAGAGACAGCCTGCTCACAGCTCGCGCCACAAGCACCCATCCGAGGGCTAGGTTTTAGGGTTTAGGGTCAGGGATCTTGAAGCCACCAAAGCTTGACACTCCCAATTACGGAAGCTCTACAACGGCGCCAACTCCATTCTGCCCTGAGGCGTTCAAACGCAAAGACGTCAAAACCCGAGGAATCGCTTGCTTTGGGAGAGTCCACTTGGCTGCACCCTCGAAGCAAACAACACTGCAAATGGTTTTGGTATGTCCTGGTGGACCAAAGTTAAAGTGGCGGAGTCACGAGTCAGGTGCAGGAATGCCCACTGCTTGCATTAAGACACGACCATCACCGAAGTCGGTATCCGCGTTGAACCCTGATCTGAATCATCCCAATCACATACCATCCCGTGGAGACACGAGGCCGCGATGGCGGTGGAGTTCGAGATCATACAGCAGGCGCGCATGACCTTTGCCAAGTCTCCACCTCGCGACCGCAGCATCACCCGTGCCGAAGGCTGAATGGCGAAGATTGATCTATCAGCAACTAAGGCAGCAGATCAAGAGGATCTACTAAGGATTCGATCTGTGAAGTCTGGTACTCCAAACTTCTCCAAATTTCTGGCCTGGCACCACAGTCGGGGGCTGGTAGTTGATGCCGCACTTGAAGCCCGTGGGACACCAGTCCTGGGCTCGATCGCACCTCTTTGTCGCTGCAACGTGGTTCAAGAGCGCATGAAGCCGCAGTCGCGGGGCAAGACATGGTCCTTCGGAGTCTACTGCCGGAGGGCTGAGGACCCAGGGGTGGACCGCATCAAACGGCTTGGAATTTCTTTAGATGCCATAGGTTTGGCTTCAGCGGTGCGCTCTTGTCTTCAGATTTCTGAATCGTAAATGAGCAAACCCTGGCCTAACTGTCCAGAACTGCTTAATTAATCTTGATTCTTACAGCCCCCTGCAGAAAAAGGTTCCACGAACTGGATGGTGCGCTTGGTCTTGATAGTGGCCACAGCAGCGTTCACGTCTTTGGGCACAACGTCACCGCCTCGTTACAAGGGAGTTTGAGTGGCACCGAAAGTGTAGCGATTGAGAGGATGTCTGCACTGTTAAGACTTGTTGTCATTGCAGATTGCAGTCTACAGCATGTTGGCATCCTTGACGGTACCTCATGGTTCTAGGCACCCGGGCGGTACATCATGCAGCAGGCCATGTACTTGCCGTGCCGAGGATCGCACCTGCATGATGCATGGATGTAGCTGCAACAACCTATCTCTCGTCGATGCGCTGGATCTGGACCGACCAAGCCGGTTGGCCCCTAGCTGCACGTGTTAGATCCTAAGGCCCTGAAGCCTGC